CAATCCTAAATAAAACAGAAAATGGCATAAAATAACAGAAATTCGTTTCGTCAAAGCAATTATAATGTAAACATATGCATGATATAGATCCATCCGTTTTCTGTACGCACTTACTGGCTAAACATATATTATTTTAACATCTATATTAGTATACACTTTTATAGCCTACATAGAAATGTACAATGATTTAACGATTTTAAGGTTAAGTGCTGACGTTTTAATTGCAAGAGGAATTGTGCTGCTATCCAGTAAAGTCTCGCAAAGGTCTTCTGTAAATACGAACATCGGACCTCACATGCTCACATCGATTACATCCTCTGCACTGGGCGAGAGGCTGACAGGGGGCTGAGCGCGAATCTGAACCTGCGTAAAGCTGAATATGTGCCCCTTTTCCTGCTTGAGTGGAAGGTACAGGATGCAAAAGGACGCCAGATCACAGCAAGTGGTTAAACAAACTCCAATCACATCCTTGGACTGGGGAGAAAGATTTCTCAACAACATGCACCGTGACAACGAACAGTCAGATTGTTAAGCGTACATTTTGTACTGTTCCTTAAAAAATGATAAAAGGGGGTCTGTTTAGTGGAAGAGCTCTTATGGGCCTCTGATGAAAATATCCCTTTCAACCAAGGACAAGACACAATGAAACCTTTCAATAAGCCCTTTAAACATAACTTTAAAATACACAAATAAACGCCACACAAATGTTAATATTGACTTTATTGAGAAAAACCGGAAACGTTACAGCAACTGAGCCCCAGTCTCCCATGTGAGGTAGGAATACCAACCACTATGTTAACGAGATTACTAGTAATAATAATAATAATAACCATTATTATTACTATTATTTATTTTTATTATTATTATTATTATTGGTATACTTTACTGATCCCCATGGGGAACCTCATCTTACTCTCCATGACACACATTGTATGTAGGTGAGAGCGAGCTTGGCAGTGAAAGGCAGCCACCTCCAGCAGTGCCGATGGAGCTGGGGGTTAAGGGCCTTGCTCAAGGACCCACAGATATGGCTATTCTGTCAAGACCAGACTCAGGCCAGCAACCTCCTGATCACAGGCCCAGAGGCTTAGCCCACTGAGCTGCACACTGGACAAGTCATGCCTAACTAAACGAAGTCCTACAGTCAAGAAGAATCAGTTTTAGGGATCACATCAGAAATTCAGGTTGATGGTAAATATGCCACAGTTGGGGGAACACTGCACCCACATCAACAGGCCAACATCACTCTCAGTCTATTTCTGTGCGCAGTCCCATAGGCGCCGATGTGCTTCCTTAGTCCTGTGCTATTCACATTGAATAATAGCTTCTTGCCCCCCTGAAAACAAATGCACAGCCACCTTAATAAAATGAGCGGAAGAAGTGGGGTTTCTGAATGCTTAAATGTATTAATATTACATATCTGGTTAGCTGACATTTTATCAAATACAGCTTAAAAGGTTAATATCTTGGTCTGGTGTATTATTTTGGCCTTATCTTATGACTAGGTGGTTACAAGTATCGGGCCTCAATCAGTGCAAAGAAAGTCTTAAAACAGACATGCGTGTGTTATGGCATGACACAGGCGGGGGAAAGAAGGTGACCATCCACTGCGGCTACAAGAGACTACGGGGTTTTATTGGGGAAACTGAACACACTGGGTAAACTACAACTCAAAAGGACCATGTGGGGTGAAAAGCAAATGAGGGAAACAAGAACAACTACAAAAATATCAAAAAGGTAACAATGAGGGGAAAAGAGCAACACAAGGAGCAGAACATGAAAACCCAAACAGAGCAGCAGCAACACAGAGCAACTTGAACACAGTGACCCACTAAAGAAATGACTACATGCAGGAACTTAAATACACAGACTGAACTGGGTAATAAAGAAACAGGAGAGAAATATGAAACAATTAACCAATCAGAGAGGGAGCAGGACAACAAGCAATGAGGTAGAACAATCATGAAGCACAGGGAAAGAGGTGGATCTAATAAACTTAACCATAGAACTAAGAGTCTAACAGGGAAACTCGGAAACAGAATCTAACATTAGAGCCAAAGGGACTACAAGAGAGAACAGGACACATAGGACAGGACCAGACAGGCACCAATCCTAACAGTGTGACATCCAGGCACATTAACATATAGTGAAATAATAGGTTTGAACCCCTTGAAATTTGCTCCAGAACCCTGTTTGATAAAATGTACAAATCTACTGAGATGGCACCGCATAACATACTCTGATGTGTGATATTCTGCAGTTGGAACTGCCACAGATGCTGGCAACAGCTGGGCCCGTGGTGCAGTGACAACACCTGCAAATTCCCCTTTGTCCAGCCACATTAGGTCCTTTTTTCAGGGAACTCATCAGCATCATCTCCAAGCTTCTCCTCATAAAGGTCATGGTGGCGGCATGCCAAGTAGGGCAGACCAAGCCTCTGTTTCCAAGGTCACTGACTGTAGCTCATTCTGGGGTATATAATTCTTCTAGCAAGTCCCGCGTCTGCCCTGGGGTCTCTGGCCTATCGGTCAAGCCCAGAATAACTTCCTTGGAAGCCGACCAGGCAGCATCCTAATAGGAGGCTCCAATCACCTCAGCTGACTCCTCTAGATCTGAAGTAGCAGTGGCTCTAATTTAAGCTTTCTCCTAACTAAAAAAGACTGAACCCAGAAAGCCTGTGGGTAAACCTCATTTCAACCTCTTGTTCCTGTGAGTTTGTTCTTTCAGCTCCCACTGGCTTAGAAACAGAAGATAAGCGTGCCAACAATCTCCATTTTTGTTTACACGACTACAACAGACGTCATATAATGTGAGCGGCAGGCTAACGCACCGTGTTACACAGTCAGACCTTGAAATTAGAGCTAAAAGCTCCAGCGGACATTGAAACTCCAAGGTGAACTGCTGCCGACAGGCACAAATATTATTTAAAGTTTTTGAAGGGTCATTGCACAAACGAATCCCCGCGGATGGAATACTCTAAACACGCGAGCGGGGATGACACCCTAGATCTGCTATTACGCTTTTATTATATTCCCTCGCTGTAACCGTAAATAATGTCACGTGGTGACACACCTTATATCAACAAAGAAACACAAAAGATTGCAATCGCCTCACTTAATCTGAAAGGAGCCCAATTTAGGAGCTATCATAATGCAATCAAGATTTATGGCAAAAAAGATATTTTGCTTTAGGGGTTAAAAACACTAAATCTATGCAACTTTTACTGCTGTAACTTAAACTTCCAGTACCAAACTGGCGGCCCACAGGTCAAGAGGATGCACATTTTTGTGGTAGAATTTAGTGACAGACAGATTTGTGACAATTACCCCATTTGATGATCATAACTGGCATTCCCTATATGGCTTGAATATGTGGATAGTATGTAATATAAAATGCTGTATGCTGTATGAAATAAACGGGATTGGAAACGCATTCGCAAAAACACCTGAAATTAAAATTTAACCTACATTAACCTATAAGCTGGTGAAAGAACGAACCACAGCAAAAGGTTATAATATGCTGGCCAGGGGCAGGTTTTTCAAGTCCTTTTCAAGATATGCCCGATGTAGCCACAAAGCAAGTCGAATTCAACGCTTCAGTAAAAAACGATGACAGTTTGACACAATGACAGTTTTCTATGCAGTACATTATGTATTTACAGTATTCTTTTTGTGGCGTTTTCCAGAGGTGTGTATCCTGTAAAAATACACAATCAAGTTATTCACAAGCGCTATTTTAGCAGCATATTTTTGTGAGGTGTTATGCAATACGCATATTAAAAACCGTTGCCCAAGCGGTAGGCAGTACTCAGAACCCCTTAGTGAAACCTACCTGACCAGTGTCATCTGAGGTCAGTCTCTATTTCATGTGGCTCATTGCTGAGTTTGAAAGCCATGCACTGCCCGACTGTTCACGATTTTAGCTTGGCTAACACATAGTTAGGCTATCACATTTTCCGTAAGTAATGCTATACCTGTTCTTGGTGTAAGGTGGGTGATACATATTGGTGTTTTGTCAGCTTCGAAAAGAAGCATATTAAATCTTAGCTGGAAGATATTAATAACCATATATTTATGAAAATTAGAAATAATCTCGCATCAACCTTTCGTAAGATTAACTAGTTCACCTCGTTTTGTGTGCATCCCAATGCAACTATACAGTATATTAATAACGTCATACGAAATATTACAGGGTGCTGTTGCACCCTCTACTGGTCAGACGAGAAGTATTAAGTTCAATAAAATTTAATTATACTGTAAAAATCATATCAATGTGTCATATTAATTTATTGTTAACGTACTTACTATTTTTGATGTGTAGCTCAGTTTGGCGTAGCCTGTAGTGAATGACTGGTTGGGTTCTCTCACCTTGCCTATCCTGGGATAAAAGTCTACAATCTATAATTAGCATAATTTGTTAATAATTTACAATTAAAACAAAATGACAAAGGCAGACTTTTAACAATTTGATAAAAACGCGCTCAGTATTTGTCGTATCCTTAATGACTACAACAGTTATTGTTTTTCTGACTAGGACTATCTCAGGGACTCGGAAAGTGCGTGCGCCATTCTCAAAGATGGCCAGCAGGTGGAGGTATGATCCAACAGAAAGTACAGTAACACAGAATATTTCACAATGACGGGACGTTGTCATTTTCATTCAAATATATTAAGTAGTTGATATATAGGCCTATAGTCGTTTTAGAAAAAAAAAACACATTTCGGTTGCCTATCAATCATATAAGCCTAGAAAGAAAAAAAATCAGATATACTGAAAAAAAGTTAAGATAGGTGCATTCTTTTCAAAAAGACGTGTTAATCTGAATAACGTGATTTTGTTAAATATGAATGAAGTAAATGATAAAAAAATAAAAACATTACTTGGGCTTGATTTTATTATTCTTTTCTTCTGCGGTTAAAAGAGGGCGGAGAGGGTGGGGGCAGTGCTTTGAATGGGCGGTGAGAACAGAATCATTTCTCGCTGCAGGTGATAGGATTAAATTACCGTAAAGGTTCAGTGAAATATACAAGCCGTACGGACAGAGCGTCTTCGACCAACAGTCGTCTTTATCAGATTTCTGGAAATATTATTCTACTGTTTTACGTAAGTCGTTGACTGGACATTATTAAAACACTGAGTTGAAGGTTTAAAAGTACTGTATTGCAGAAACCACTGAAGAATAAGTACTTTGAGTTCGTAGTAAGAGTGCACTGTACCGCATTTTGCTGATAGCACTGTTCAGTCCGGGAGCTGAACCACGCAGCCTTAACTTTCTGCTGCAAGTCACAGCAGGCAGACGGGGGATGCCTATCAGGACGGTGATGGACGGTACCCGATATTTTGGACCGAGAAGTCCAGTTTGTTTTGGCCCAGAAAACACTGTCCCGGCGAATATCAATGCCTGCCCGGATAGCCAACGCAAGATGTACCATACGAAAATGGTTGGGAATTACTTTATTGGAAGAAAACTCGGAGAAGGCTCCTTCGCCAAAGTAAGGGAGGGTCTGCACGCTGTGACGGGAGAAAAGGTAAACGTGTTTTTTTAAACTGGAATAACATAGAAGAAATAATAATCTTGCATACGGTTTCTGCACAGAGGAGTATAATCATTACACTTTCAATTTGCAAAAACATGTTGTATATATTTGATCACTTACATTTTAAAATTTATCTTAATGTTTTTTTGTTTGTTTGTTTTGATAGTGAGCTAAGAATGGGTTTTATTTGAATGTATATAAGGGGAATTCTTCGGAAAAGACTGAATAAACTGACGAATAAACTCCTGCAAAAGTAGTGTTAGTTTACCCTATGTGTAACATCGTTACTATATAAAGTGCGCATTATATTATATTATTTTTTGTAATATGTAAGCCTATATTAAAGTATGTTAAGTTGTGTTTTTGAACCGAAAGAGTAAATATGAATATTAATTATACTAGCTATTTTAACATGCGCGCAAAATCTATTATGCGGACAAAGAAAGAAATGGAGAAATGAAAGAAAAAGTTTTGCGGGTCAATCGTGAAGGACTGGTAACAGTTTTGGATATCGAGGGGTGAGGAGCCACAACCCCTCCTTTACACTGTTTAGCTAATAGAAGGCGAAGGTTGTAGTACCTTGTAATCTTTATTATAACGTTTAGGACCGCAGTATTCAGGTAAGGTACTCGGCCTGATTTACTTCAATAAGAGTGCATCTTCTTGTATGGAGCTTATGAGAAGCAGGCATGGCAGTATGCTTGGTGTCATGTTGCCTGTTGAGTAAACAATTATAATTTTATGATTTGTGTGTTTGTATGATTTTTTTATTTTGATTTAAAAAGCCTGATTTTTACAGCTAAATTCTCTCTCTCTCTCTCTCTCTCTCTCTCTCTCTCTCACACTATCTCTCTCTCTCACTATCTCTCTGTCTCCCTCAGGTGGCTATAAAGGTAATTGACAAAGCGAAGGCAAAGAAGGACTCATACCTGTTGAAGAACTTGCACCGGGAGGGCCTCATCCAGCAGATGGTCCTTCACCCCAACATCATCCAGCTGCTGGACATCCTGGAGACGGAGGCCAGCTGCTACCTGGTGATGGAGCTGTGCATGGGAGGAAACCTTCTGGAGAGACTCTTAGAGAGGGAACGCCTGGAAGAAGCAGAGGTTCAGAAGTACATTCGGCAGCTGGTCATGGCTGTGGAGCATCTGCACAGCTCAGGGGTGGTTCACAGGTAAGTGATCCACTAAGACCCTGTCCCTAACCAGTTAGTAATCTCCCCACTGGTTCCATATAACTTGTGGACTAATACCCTCATTCTGGTACCTTAACTCCTCATGCTGGTATCCTCACCATAGTCCTCTCAAATAATCATTTTACTGATAAGCTGATATGTACACAGCTGACTGAACAACAACAGCATTCTTTCCCTTGTTTGTTTTTTATCCTCAACAAAGTCACCAATTAGTTCAAGGGGGTGTTCATCGTAGGTGGAATACCGAGTTATCCGGAATTAATTGTTGACAATTTGACACGATCCAGGTTTTCTTGTTAGATTGGTTGTCACAGCAACCAATCCATAAGCTCAAACCTCTCAGAGCAGGTTTATTCAATGTAAACAAGATTAGATCACAAATTTAAACAGAGGAGTTCAACCGTAGCTGTGCCGTTATGACGAGAGCAACTGATCGCAATCGGTGTGTTCATAATAATAAGAGAAATTTCTGACTAAAACTTCATTGCATAATATTGTAGTACAAATACAAACAATTTAATACCAGAGGCACATAAACAAGAAAAATGATGAAATAATACCGTATAAGACACGCACTAAAGTTCATCAACAAAACATTCTATGGATGAAATAGAAGTTGGACAAATGGAGGATTTTAACAGCCTTAGCAATATTAGGATGTGAGATATAGCCCATGTAGTTATTTAAATCAGATGAAAGTGCAGAAAAAAAACACACCATTGACTTTACATTTATACATATAGCTTTTAGCAAAGAATTATTGTGCAATTGTCAAGATCATTTAACGTATCCAGGCAAATTGCTTTTTGAGAGTTACCGCTTCATTTGAGACGGAAAAATATACATGGGCAGTGTGTCTCTGTACATTATGCGCCAAACCACTGTGGCATCCTGCCAGCAGCTCTGAGAAAACACTACGCCCTTCTATGCCCCTTAAAATGGGCCAATGGGCATTTTGCTGGGTAGCCATCTCCTCAGCTGGGTTGAAGTCTGCAACTCCCCAGTTTGTTCACTCTTCTTCCCATTTGCTTTAAAATAGAAAAAATAATTGACCTGTAGTGAATACTATTCATATTCAGGTTACAGGTGAGAATAGTTTTGTATTTTACTTTAATCTGTTCCCAGGTCCTTGGTGTGCTGGTATTTGCTATGAATATGAAGGCCAGACTAATTCATATATGCAGTGAAAATGCAAAGGTTGCAATAGTGAACAATAAAAAAGGACACTTACGCATTTAATGTGTCAGCTAGTTTTTGTCAACCCCTCTTTTGTTTTGGCCGCTTTTGTTGTGTGGCCTAAATGTGTTTTAAATTCCTCATCTCCCTCCAGCAGAAGCTCTTGCTCTGTTGGGGGAGAAGAATTGCAGCCTGGCAGTCACCATTTTAGACAGCCACTCACAGACTTGCGGATCATGCTCTTGAGTCTCGATATACGTAGCCTAGTCAGTGTCCATGGGAGCACGCAGTTATATCAGATGATTTAATCCATGTTTTCTAATCCAACTCTCTCATGACTTCGAAGAACCGAAACAGCTGGATAACCATATCCATGATCTTGGTTGAGTCCTCTGATCATGGGTAACACTTCACTTAAAGGGGCACAAATACTTAGTAGTGACTCAGTGCTGAAGTACAAATCATAAAAAAATATAATAGCTACTAGAGATAAAAGATGTGTAATGATTCGTTAATGATGAACAAACATGAGGTCAGTATTTCACTTTTTCCTTCATAAATTCCTTCAGTAGTTCCTTCAGTAGTTCACAAAGGTTTACAGAATTAAGATTAGTAACTGCTTGGGATAAAAGATGCATCATGATTCATTAACGATGAACAAATATGTGTTATTCATGACTTGTTCCTTCAGTAGTCCAGAAAGATATAGTAACAAATATAGCAACTGCATGAAATAAAACATGCGTCACAATTCATTAATTATGAATTAACATGTGATCAGTATGTAACAGACTTTTACATGCCTTATTTATCTTCTGTCTCAAAGTTTGTATGAGAATGATCAACACTATTCAACACAACCTCATGAGATTGTGTGGGACCTGAACACAACCCAAGAAGTAAAAATTATTTCAGACCATTGTCTTAATGTGGAAATGTTTTTCTAACTATGAAAAATGTCTTAAACCCATGGAAAAAAAATGCACATGAAATCTCCACTTCAACTGCAGCAGGCTCATATAACAATTAATATTTCATTAATTCAGAAATAAGACACCTATCTCTTGAAACTGTTTGAATTGTATCGCATGTCAGTCCTTTAAATGTTCAGCTAAATTTGTGGTGTTTGTCAGTATTGTACGATGGCATAGCTTTCATGCAGGCCTGCCTATGTCCTGTGGGTTACCTTCTACATTTGGCACAAAGCCACAGTATTTCCAGACGTCACTCTTGCTGTACTTTTTAATGATTTAAACAGTGCGGGTAGCTCTGCCGCTTCTGAACTAGTTATCTTAGTAACACACCGTGTGTGAGACTGCACTCAGGCCTAGGCACGCACACTGGTAGCTTATGAGAGCGAGTGCCGGCTGTAGAATCGATACCATGAAAAATGAGTATCGAACCTGTTGTATGCACAATAGAATTGATACTTTCGATACTATTGACAAGATTATCTGTATCCGGTGTGTTAAATTAGGGCTGCACCTAAACTCTGAGGGATGGTAGACCGATACATTAAGGCGCAATTCAGAGATGGCAGGGAGAGCGGGATGAATAAGAAGCTGTTTAACAGTTTGTACTAAATAGTTTGTACTAAATAGTTTGTACTAAAGCATACAGAGATGTTTCATATTTTCAGCCCAGCCTTGTATTTTTTATTGAAGACATTTTCTTGGCCAATTCACTAATATTTTTGGATGTAACAAATTAAAAGCCTTTTCACTGACAATCTATGGGACTAGAGAAAATGTTTATTAAATGACATTCTCACTGAGCCAGATGTAGTATAAACATATTAAAGAGAATGAGGTACACTATACACTAATGAGCCAGCAAACGTAATTTGGTTGCTGAATGCCTTTGTCAAGCAAGAAGCAGAGCCTCCCTGTGAGTTTGAATTGAATGGAATCTGCTGATTTTGGCTGAATAAAGGACACAACACACTCTGCCATTACTTTGACATACTGTTGTTGTCTTACAGGGACCTCAAGGTGGAGAATCTCCTTTTGGATGAAAACAGCAACATTAAAGTCACAGGTAACTTTGAGATTAAATAATTTCAGTAAATTACTGTAAATAGCATGTTTATAGCACTGTTCATTACTGCTGCACCTAATGAACTGAACTGGGAGTTTAGTAATGGATTAAAGTTAAATTAGTATTTCAGCCAAGTGAAGAAAATGTGGGTTAGTGTGGATTGAACACCGAGTTCTAGCATTTTAATGAAATATATAGTAAGGGAAAAAAATTAGCATTGGTAGAATTACAGGTTATATCGGAAGATATCTATGGGTGTGAAATAAAGAGGGGGGGGGGGGGGCAATTCAAGGGGATCATTCAGGTCGCCATGGCCACCTGTTAGCAATGAAGGGGGAGGTGAAATCATGGAATATGTTGGGGAGCAAAGGAAACATTGAGTAAGGTTTGTTCTGGATGGTCATGTGACCCGGGGATGGGAGGGGCAAAGGGACTGTACTTGTGTGGAGAAGTGGAGACTGGTTTAATGGGGGGGGGGGGTGCAGGGCAGAACACAGGTGCTTCATTGGGTTTTGGGCCTAATGTGGGAGTTTCGGTATAAAGGCCTGGAAACATACTTAGGTACCTGAGTCAAAACAGATCCCAGTCTTAACAGGTGACTTTGCACCCCCTCCAGTCCTGAGCCCCTTCTTCCACTATTCTTTACCATTTCTCAGCCCAGTCCCAGCCAGTCCACATTTGTGTTCCCTCCCAGCACCCAACAGTGAAAAAGACCCAATACCTAGTATAGGTCTGTTGGGAGCTGGGATGGAGTAAAAACTGGGGTCCCCAAGAATTACAGTAGACGTACAATACCTGCATCTGTCCGCTTAGCAGTGCTTTATCAAATTTAACCCATTAAATGTAAGTAACAGATTAAATGACATCTAACTATTAAATATCAGTAATGACGGAGCATGGAGTGAGTGGCCTGATTTGCACTGTGTGTTCATGCTTGTGTGTTTGAATGCATATTAACACCTGATTAGTAACGTGACACCGTGACCTCCAAAGGACCCCACTCAGATTAGCTCTTGGATCTGGTCTCGTTCAGATTTCGGTTTGAGCTCCTGCGCCAGGAGGCGCGGCACCGGTGACCTGCTGAGCACACAGTGCGGCAGCCCCGCCTACTGCGCCCCGGAGCTCATCTCCCAGAAGAAGTACGGGCCCAAAGTGGACGTCTGGTCCATGTGAGTTCAGCGCCTCCTTTCAGATTAATGCACCCGCACATTATGTACGTATTTATTTCGGGAACAAAGAACTAACTAGGAAAATCACGATAAAAGGTATGATGCTGTAATAGCACAGGAGGGAGTGTGATGAACATGCAGAGGAATGAATTTCCTCGGAAGCTGTCTTGCTTAAGTGTCGCCTTGAGTTAAACGGAGAGGAATGTGCCTTCGTCTGCCTGTAAGCCGGCCTGCTTTCTGTGTCCAGAGGGGTTATCATGTACACCCTGCTCACCGGGGCCCTGCCCTTCACCATGGAGCCATTTAACCTCCGTCAGCTCTGGCAGAAGATGGTGCAGAGACAGATGAACCCGCTGCCACAGAAGCTGTCGCCAGGTAGGCGCCGGGCCGGGGGTCACCCTTTAAGACCTCTACTCCCCTTTGTTACAGACCAGTAATTCCCAACCCATGGCATTTGGGTCGCGGCAAGTTCTGAAAGGATAGCAAGGCAGAGTTGTAAAATGTAAGCATTTTAAAACCCGCAAGCTCCTATGCTGATCCACGATCAGATTTCCCAGCCACAATGCTAGAATTAACCAGTATAAATGGGTCTTGGGTCTACAAATGTTTAGCACAAAAATAGTGAACATCGAACCGGTCCAAAAAGCCAAACCGCAGATGCTTAATTTAAAATTCACTGGCACATCCAAACAAATTTGGGAGATAGGCATTGATTGACGTAAATTGCAGAGTGCACTCTGAGCTTGATCATGGAGTTAATCTAGGCCTATGCTGGCATAGTAAAAATTGGGTTGCGGTGAAAAAAAGGTTGAGAACCAGTGTCAGACAATGGATTCCCATTAGAGATCACACTGGACTGACTAGGAAAACTTTTTGTGATTTTTTCTAAGACACACCAGTTGACTTTTGTTTAATTCCTTCCACAGTTTCCCACAGAATATTGAGTTCATCTGTGTACTTTGGAAATTTGTGTTCCAATGTTTTTTTTTACATTAGTGAATGCCAGCAAATCTTACTTACCCAGAGACCTTTTCATTGAGGACTACTCACCCGTCTGCAGTATAGGGTTTCATTCTGGCACCCACCCCAAGAAGCACGGGGGGGGGGGGGGGGAACCCCTGGGCAATATGCCAGGCCATTGCAGGGGATATTCATGCACACACTAATTACATGGTTTTGGACTGCGGGGGGAAATCTGAGCACCCAGAGGAAACCCGCCTCTCACGGGGAGACCAAGCAAATTCCAGATACACAGTAGAGGTGGGATTAAACCCCCCCCCACCCCCACCCGGAGTTGCAACACTGAGACTGTCACGCCCTGAAATTAATAACGTTTAAAGAAATGGACTGTTTTATGATATCACACAACAAGGCATGACACTGTATCTGCGTGTCCTGTGATGCCCCCGGGGGTGACATCTGGTCATCATGTGGTTGTGCCCTGCCCTTCTGCCCCGTATGGTCTCAGGGGTCTTTGTCGCGTCCCCAGGGGGCAGGGGTCATCCTGGGGTCTTTCCCAGCCTTTTTGTCTCCATAGCTAACAAGACGTGGCTTCCTGGGTGAGAGTTCTGAACTAGATCCTAACACAGATGCTGTCCAACTGCCGAAAGCTGAGTGCACAGCAAGGCGACAGCAAAAGACTGGCACCGTCCTCGACCAATGAACGGTCGGCTTCAGGCGGCTGCCATTCGCTCCTGTGGGCTCTCTTTAATTGTAAAAATGTGTGCTGGAACACACCAGCACAAACAGAGGTGATTGTTGACATGTTGCCCAATCAGAGAGATGTTTTGCCAACTAGCTCCAATGGCAATTCAGCATGCCCAATCGGCCAATGTGGCGCCTGTGGTGACCATGTCCAGCCATTCCACACCCATCCAACAGGCAATCAGTCTCTCTCATTGACTCTCATTGATCTTCAGCTTGCCAGTGCCAAAAATTGGCTTGGTGTGTTCCAGGCCTAAAGAAGTATGTTCTGTATGCATGTGAAGTATTATCTATGTCACTCTGGAATACAGTAACTGCCAAGAATATAAATGTAAATGCCGCACAGAGGTTAGGTATTTGCCCTTTCAACGTCACGAGCCTGTGTGTCTGTGTCTGAATTTTCCTGTGACCACGGAAGTAAGAAAATATGTGGTTCCAATAAAAATAATTTCATACTGTGTTCTGCTTGTGGCAGAAGCTTTTAAAATTGAATTTCATAATTATTGTTCGTTTAAATCTCAACTTGTGGCTTCATTCAAAGCAGGATTCCTAAGTATGAATGTTTCTGAGATTATATATATATATATATAATTCTTCATTTTCAGGAATATAGTGCAAAAAAGGATTAATCAGTTGCCAAAATAACCTCACAAGGGCCCCCAATCCAATTGGGTTATTTAAATGCTGAGCTGTTTTTTTTCCTTCTAAAATCAGTGTATCATGATTTATAGCACGCCACAGGCAATATAGAAATGACTTAACTCTTAAACTGACTTTTGTCAGGCTGAAAAAGGCATAGTCACATTATGAAATTAACGAACTGCACCCAGAAGGTACATTCATTCTGATTGACAGCAGTTACGACATACTGCCTTATTAAGCTTCATCTTTTCATTAGGTCAAAAAATGTTCCTGTGAGCTTAAACAGGTCTTACAAGCTGCATTGCTGATTTATGACACTGTTCTGGTTGTGTGATAAAACTATGCCAGAGTGTTTATTTCCTACAACATAACAGATAGCAGCATGCGAGTTACGGCAACGTGGAAGTGTTGCAGTAGTATTGTGGTTCTCCTCTCCAGATGCATAACGAAAGTGCTCCCATGTCTCTTTCTCCCCTGAGGTGCCGCTGGCTTGCTTAGGAACCTTCTGGAACCTGACCCAGCCAGAAGGCCTAGCATTCGTCAAGTAATGGCTGATCCGTGGCTTTTGCCGGCCAACCCGAGGGCCAGATCCCTCTACCTGAACAGGTACCGCAATTCCTGGCATTCTCTGCATGCATACACAGAAAATTACTAACAGCCTTTCAGTAAGGTTGTATCAATAAGGCTGTAAAGTATCAGTGCTTTACAATAAAGCACCAGCATGCTCGAAAAAGTGAGTGATTGGCTGAATCATTTGGAGGCTAGACTTCATCATAAGCAGAAGCTTGAGTACCACTGAGCAATTTAAGTAAACTTGCATCTCTACAAACAGGTAAATTGTAACATAAGTGTAACTCATATAAGTAATTTACTAAAAGTTGTTCAGCTTATGAGTAATTGTGACAGCTGAGTAGTGAGGGTAACATCTACATTCCAATGCACAGTAAATGCTTTTCTGTCAGACCGCCTATGGAGATTGACCACCATGTGCTTGAGCACATGACTGTGAAGATGGGCTTCCAGCACGAGGAGGTCCTGAGCGCCGTGCTCAAAAACAGGCCCTGCCACACGCTGGCCGTCTACTACCTGCTGGAACGGAAACGCAGGAGGGTACAGGGGCCACGCGAGGTGAGCAGGGGGTCTGCGGGGTGAGCAGGGGGTCTGAGGGGTTAGCAGGGGGTCTGCGGGGTGAGCAGGGGGTCTGCGGGGTGAGCAGGGGGTCTGCGGGGTGAGCAGGGGGTATGCGGGGTGCTGCGTCCGTCTCCATGGCGACAAGGCCTAACGGGACTGCCTTTGGATTTCCAGGAGAAGCAGCTAACGGGAAAGGAGACGAAAAGGCAAAGTGGGGAAGAAAACTGCAGAAATGGACAGATTCCTTTGAGAAGGTGCTCAGCCAGTTGCGGGAACCAGAGAGCAGGTGAGGAAGAAAGGGCGGCCATTTTGGATGGAAAAAGATGGGGTTCTGAGTGGAGCATGAAGTGTAAAAGCGATGCGTCCATCTACCACATTAATTGTTGTAGATCTAGCTATAGTTATAGAGTACCTGTATCTAGATCTCCAACTCTGAGGAAAAAGGGTGCATGGCCACCCAGGAGGAACAAATAGGAGAACTATATTCATGCCTATATTCATTATAGACTGTAAAGTTGGGCCATTTGTAATGTCTAAGAAAAATCTTTATCATGAATAACAGAAGTGGAGAGTTAGTTTAAAAGCGAGAAATGGAACATGACATACATTATCGGATCATTTATGTAATGTTCAGTATTGCAGCTATGTCTTCTGCATATAAGACATCTTGTCTTTGTGTCTTCACGGTCCACCGAACAGTTTTGTCGACTGCTCTGGAACACCTGAACAGCTATCCTGTGCAGCTCGACCCACCTCGGCCAATCAGGCGGCAGGAAACGTATCCCCCGACCAATGGGATCTCACTTCAGGGCCGACCCCAACAGCAGCCCATCCCTGCCAACGCCAAGACTCACTTCAGGACCCTGGGCATCAAAGCCGCATGGTGCAGGTTCATCCACAGCAGTCCACCCCCTTGCCCGGTGCCCCCGGTCTTCCAAACCTACAGCCCTGGCTTGAAGACGGTGCCAGATTTCATTCCATCTAGCTTCCCCGTGGCTCAAAAGCCACCGGAGAACTTGCCCCCGGCCAAGGAGAGCAGGTCAGAGCCAGAGGGCCCCAGGTGGCGGGCCCGGCTGCCGTCCATCAGCCTGGGGCAGGCGCTGCGGCGGAGCATGTCGTTCCGGCACGCCGCTCCTGCCGCGGAGGCTTCGTTCTGCCGGAGGCGCATGACGTTGAGCCCTTCACATACGCTGCGCTGAGGCATCCTGGGAAAAGTGCAGCCGGTGCCGTGGAAGCGGCCAGCCAAAGATCCGGGGGCCGTTTACCGACCAAAGCGCCGTTTAAGACAGCCCTCCTCCACCTCTGCCTCTGACTTCCGAGGCCCCGCCTTTAATTCTGTGCCAGGGAACACAGCAGCATCGCCTCAAACCTGACAGCGGCAGGCGGTTTAGCGGGTAGGATGGCTTCCTGCTGTGCGTCTGACTGTTAATGGCCAATATGGAAGGCTCTTAAGCGGAAGCACACTTTCCGTCTTTATCAACTACAGTGACAAAACAAAAATGTGAACTTTTAAAAACTAAAAAAAAAAAAAAAAAAAGACTGATATAGTGATATTTCTCTGTGAAATGAGGTAAACGGTGAACAGGCTGCAGTATTTATGTACTGTATGTATTTTAGTACAGTTATAATGTGAAAAAAACAAATTGGTGCCATTAGTGAAAACCTTGCAACTGTGGTCCAAAAATACAATGAAACAGCAAATACCCAGACTTTCCACAGGACTACAGTGTACCTTAAACTGTGCATAAAAGTCTGCATGACCCATCCTCAACTGCCGTTTACTATTAGACGAGTCTTACTCCAGCTCCTGGAAGATGGAAAGACCAGTTTAACTGCACCATTATCAGTATGAGTCTCCCACTGTCATACAAAAATGCTAATTGCTGTTTATAGGCAGGATTCATGTTCAATAAAAACGTGTTTGATTGCAAAATGTATTTACTCAAAACTCCCTATGATATAGATAAAGGGAATTGTATAATAATGACCAAGTAAAAAATGAGAAACATCATTTCAGAAGGTGCCAGAAAATGGATTCCAGACAAATTCCAGAGTATTACCTTCAGTGTGTGTATTCATTCAGAATATATAAAAAGAGCATATTTTACACAATTTACAAATACACTTTAAATAACTGAAAAATATGCAACAAAAACATGACAAAAACAAATGAAAAATTTTTAAAATAATAATTGATATCATGAATTAAAAAAAAGTCCCATTCTCTGGTATAAACCTGGTCTGAGGCCTCATCATGGCCCAGGAGCCGCCGCAGAGGAGATCTGCCGACACAGCGCTGTGACGGGCGCCTGAGTCACGCTGCGCCTCCTCAGCCCCTGCTGCGGCAGCCCAGCCACCAGCTGCACGTGACACAGGAAGAGGCCCGGCGGGTCGGCGCCGGCCCACAGCTCCCGCACGTACAGCGAGAGCAGCAGGAGGCCGGCCTCTGTGGGGGGAGAACTCGATAAGCTAAGATGAAAATATCTGTGCTGATGTTCGCAAGCCTCAAACCAGTGTTTCCAAACCCAGTCCTTGGGGACAGTCCACACCTAAAGCAAACAATGACAACCCAAGTAGGCTAAAGCACTAAATACCGACAGTAGTACAGGTGTAGTGGGAGCTGTGAGGCAGCAAACTTGTGGACTGTCTGGGGCCCCCGGAGGGCTGGGTTGAGAAACACAAGCAATGTGAGATCTGAGAACGGTTCCTCACCACTTCTGGAAGCATCGTCTTCGGCCGTGGACAGACAAGCTGAGAGCACGGTGCGATGCAGGTCTCCTTCGGGAACGCCCCGGACCTGGAGCAGGCGTAGCATGACGTCGGTGAACAGCCTGAGGGTCTCCAGACGGGCAGGGTCCTGGGAAGTGGGCGGCGGCTCGCAGGCCCGGTGGTACAGCCTCAGGAAGTCCCGCCTCACCGCTTCCTCTGCGAGCACCGCCGCTACTGACGATTCGCGCCGGAGCACGGAGGCCTGCACCCAGCACAGGAAGCGTGACACGGCCTCAGGGTCAGCCGACCCGGCCACCAGCGACCTCAGCATCCACCGGAGGAGCAGCCGTGCCGCGTCAGCGGCCAGAACGGCGGCGTCGGGGTCACCGTCCTCAGGGGTGCACATAGACATGTGGACAAACACGTCCCTGAGCAGGGGGTCGCAGTCCGAAAGGGAGGCTCTCTCCTGCTCGACCCCAGCCCCCCCTCCCTCCTCTTCCTCGGCAGCTTTCTCCACGCGGGGGCGACCCCGCTGTAGGTGACCTTTACTCCTCCCCCGTTCCCTCGCGATTCCTGCAGCACAGAGCACATTCCCGGGTATTTTACTTGGTAAGGTTTAAATTCCTAAAACGGGAGTGCAAAGCTAGCAAAAAGAAACCAGTGATTTTTAAAGGTAACGATAAGTTAGCATGACCAACCCTCCACAAACCAGTTTAATTTAGACGAGTGTTTCTCAACCCAGTCCTTGAAGACCCCAAAAACAGTCCACATTTTTGACCCCTCCCAGCTCCCAACACAACTGAACAAAGGAGAACACCAAATATCTGGTACAGGTGTATTAGGAGGGAATATAGGAGGGAACAAAAATGTGGACCTTCTGGTAGTCATCAATGATTTATTCCTCATTAATTAATAACTTATGTGCAAATAGATTGAATAGACAAAACAAAAAAAACACACAAAGACTTTGACGTGAAGAGACACCTCATACGAGGAGACCAGAGAGCTTACCCAGCAGCTCCTTCACCTTGCAGCGCTCCAGCACCCCCTGCAGGTCGGAACGGAGCGGCGCATCGCGGGAAAGCGAGGCCCAGCAGTGCAGCAGCGCTAGGGCGGCGGTGCAGGGTAGCGGCTGCTCGCACGCGGTGGCCCAGCCGGCGGCACGGCAGACGCCCAGTGCCCTCTCACGGTGCCTGAGGATGGAGGCCAGTGCCTCGAGGAAGCGGAACAGCTGAGGGGTCTTCACTGTGCCGCTGGGGGTGGGGCGCACAGAACGGCATGAATTAATGGCAACGTGCAGGAACAACACAGGAATGCTTGGGGATAATGAGCCGTAAGAATGTCTGTCAGAGCAGCTGGAGGGTGGGAGAGCTGGGGGTCAGGTGATCACCGCCGGTTATCTGACGAAGCCGACTTGCTTACTCCGCTTTGAGGAACAGATGTGTATGTGGGGTCCATTTACGGAATAGTTTGGATGCACGACTATAAATCAACTGAAGAAATAATATAAAAATATTAATTGAAACATTCTTTACTATTCCATACCACTGTGTTTTAGTTTTTGTATTTTGTGGTGATATTGGTGTGTGTAGAGTTATACATACTGAAGCTAAGGTGTACCTGAATATATGGTTTGGTAATATTTAAATGTTTGTGATGGGTAGGAGTTAAGTTTAACGTCATCACGCTTTTATTAGTTGGAGTTTAGTATGTGTGGTTCAGTTTGGAACAGTCTGAAATAATCTAAACCAGTGTTTCCCAGCCTGGTCCAGACCCACAGATGGCTCCCTCCCAGTTAAGGAAGATAAACTTAGGGACTGTCTGCGGGTCCCAGAGGACCAAATTAAGCTAAACTAAGCTAATTCTGAGCACTGCAGTCCTTGATACACTAAATAGACAAAGGTATTGGGACAGGCCTCTTAATCATTAATTCAGGTGTTTCACTCAGACCCATTGTCACAGGTGTATAAAATCAAGCACCTAGCCATGCAGTCAGGTTTACAAACATTTGAAAGAATGGGTCGTTCTGAAGAGCTCAATAAAATCAAGCGTGGTACTGTCATGATAAGTCAGTTTGTGAAATTTCTTCCCTGCTAGATAATCCACAGTCAATTGTATATGGTATTATTGGTATTAAATGTAAGCGTTTCGGAACATCAGAAAATCAGCCACAAAATGTAAAGTGACAGATTGGGATCACCAAGTGCCGAGGTTGATAGTGCATGAAGTCACCAATGCTCTATAACTCAATAACTGCAAAGATCCAACCTTCCTCTGCCATTAACTCCAGCATAAAACCTGCGCTAGGAGCTTCATGGAATGGGCTTCCATGGCCGAGCAGCTGCATGCAAGCCTGACATCACCGAGCGCAATGCCAAGTGTTGGATGGAGTGGCGTAAAGCGCGGTGCCACTGGACTCTGGAGCAGTGGAAATGTGTTCTGTGGAGAGATGAATCACGCTTCTCTGTCTGGCAGCTTGATGGACAAGTCTGGGTTTGGCAGATGCCAGGAGAACGTTACCTGCCTGACTGCATTGTGTCAACCGTACAGTTTGGTGGAGGCTGTTTTTCAGGGGTTGGGTTAGGCCCCTTAGTTCCAGTGAAGGCAACTCAATGCCAAGACATTTCGGACTATTCCAGAGCCCTGACCTCAATCTGACTGAACACCTTTGCAATGAACTAAAATGGAGATTGTGAGCCAGGTCTTCATGCCTAACATCAGTGCCTGACCTAACGAATGCTCTTCTGATTGAACGTGCCACAGACACACTCCTAGATCTTAACAGTAGCAGCTGTTATAGCTGAAAGGGGGGGGATCAGCTCCATATTGATGCCTATGGATTTAGAATAATTGATACTTTATTGATCCCTGTGGGGAAATTGTCTTTACGCCTCCCTCAGCTTGCTCTTTGTAGAGTAAGCTGTCCGCAAAGGGCAGCCACCCATAGCGGCGCCCAGGGAGCTGGGGGTTAAGGGCCTTGCTCAAGGACCCGCAGACGTGCTGACGCTGGGTTTGAACCGGCGACCTTCTGATTACATGCACACAGGCTTAGCCCACTGAACCACACGTTGTATGTATGCAGTATGTATGTATAGAATGGGACGTCATAAAGGTTCCTGTAGTGTAATGGCCAGGTGTCCCAATACTTTTGTCCATATAGTGTGTGTGTGGGTGCAGGTCTGGACCACACTGAAACTGGATTTTTTTTCTTTACCCACACCCTGATCTGATGCTCAATATTCAATTCTGTAATCAGTCTACACCATACACTGGCATATACCAGGGTAAGTGTGCATATTGTTAAGAGCTGTGTGAGAGACAGAGGCCTTACTGTAGGTGCCTGACCAGGGCCATCAACACACACAGGAACTCGCCGATGAGCGGGAGGGGCAGGCACTTGGCCGGCTGACCGCCCCCGGGCACCCGGTTCTCCTTCTTCCCCAGGTTGGTGAACCAGAGCCTGTGGACCAGGTCAATTGCTATACACAGCAGCTGGCCGTCCAGGCACCTGGAGGCGGTGAACAATGACCGAAAATTTGTCAGATCAACTCAAAGGTCACCACCTTTCACTTATTAGCTAAGGCCTGAACAGCCTCAATAAAATGACATCTGGGCATATAAAACCATAAAAACAACAACAGGTTTACTGTTCAGGTGAAAATACCAAGTCATCATCTTCCTGGGAATAACACAGTAATTGTTTTGCATTTAGCCCTACCCACCTGGTCTCAATTAGCTGCAGAATCCACGTCAGAAGGCCGTGAATGTTGATGAGCTCATAGGCGGCTTTGGTTACATGGGCAGTTTGCTGGAGCACGTCCAGGATCAGAACCTGTGAGGGATCACGCCTGTATCAGCATGCTCAGCAATCACACTTGACATCACCTTCATGTCCACACTCCTTTGGTCTGTTTTAGCTTTCATTGTCAGGGATTCACCTCGGGAAATTTTGAAGTTTGCTTCTAGCAGTAGTGAAAGGTTTTTTAAGGGGTTAATTCAAGAGAACAGCCATTTTCACTCTGCGGGAACTTTTTTCTGGAAACAGGAGCTTTTTCAGGAACAAGGAGCTTTTTTCGCAGCCCTCCCCAGGAACTCAGCCCAACTGCAGTTCCGGAACTTTATTTTTTAGTCCCCACTTGGTATTTTTCGTTTGACCACAAACTAAGAGGCGCAGGGCTTATAGCGATAAACTTGCTGATTGGTTGGCCGCAAGCATTCATTTGGAAGTGGGGGGGAAAAGATAGAAGCAGTAGAGCAAAAATGGAGCAGAAGGAATTACTGTTGTTCCTTAATTACATTTAATGCATCAAAGAATACCTTTTTGCATTCATCTCCATATTTCTGCATCAGAAAATTAAACGGATAATCAATGTATTTTTGTCTAACATCGCCGGTGTTGGCAGTGAAACTTGCCAGCAGTATTCAGCAGAATAATGTTGCAACACTTTTTATTCTTTGGAATAATGAAAGATTGATCTGCTGATTGACCTGATTTCATTATGAATTATAAACACGTCGTGAGTCATATAAATGAAATGAAAATAAAAGTCTGTGTCCCATATTGATAGTGATCAATACTCCCAATAACTAACAAATAACATAACAAAACACAATTAATAAAAACTAGTCATTGACATATATATGAGGTTTAACCTATGACATAAAGGTCACAGTTGCTGTGGCGAACAGGGTGACGCTGGGGTCAGACGGGTTCATACCTGGGTGGCGCCGTCGCACAGCGGACTGGCACAGAAGCCCAGCAACACCTGGAAGATGCCCTGCTGCTCGCAGACCTCGTAGCAGTGACGGTCCTTCATGCCCTCGCGCATGACGCCGATCAGCCACTCGCGCTCAGCCTTGTGCTGAAACACAGACGCCGTCGACCGGCCCCTCAGTGTCACCCCCCAAGCTCAGCCTTGTGCTGAAACAGACGCCGTCGACTGCCCCCTCAGTGTCGCCCCCCAAGCCCCAGCCAGAGTTCACAGATGGAGCCTGGATTCAAAAGGCCTGCTTATCTGTCTACAATATTACATGAGCTAGCAAGCAACGTCACTTAAATTGTTTCAAAAACACAATAATAAACCTACTGTATGGTAAGGCATAGTATTTTGCAAGCTTTCTAAAGACAATTTTAAGTTCAAAATAATTAGCTACAAAGGTCTGTTTTTGGCCAGCTGAATATACACGCAGGGTTGCATCTTAAATTTTTACTACTAGTCAACTGGGCTAAAAAAAATGTAGTCCGACAAGCGATTATTTTTTTTTGTACTCATCCTCCGACTAAATGACTTGCCTTTGGTGAGTGAGCGAGGTTAATTGCCAGCCCTGTATACGTGTCCAATCAGTTAAGGAGTTGTAGGATTTTCGAATTATGGATATATACGTTACAAAAAGATTGTATTGGTGGCAATTTGAGAAGTTAGGTGTCATCCTTGGGTAAACACTGTGGTTGGGTTTCACTGAAGCCTCACAGTTATAGGCTGGTGTGCCTGGTTCCCACCCATCTTCCATGTGTATGCATGTTCTCCCTGTTGTTACATGGTTTACCTCTGGATACTCTGCTGTCCTCCGAATCATAAAATCAGAGCTGGCATGTATAAGCTTTGTTGTCGTTTGTCGTTCCGCCTGGTCGCGACTGGTACCATGCCAGGAACTTCCAAAGAAAAGCTACTGAATCAACAAGAATATGCTTTGGGTATTATGTCACGTTACCTCCAAGTCGAAGCTGTAGAAAAACCTGAAGAATGCCGGAACCCTCTTCAAGTCCAGGTCTTGGTGGGCAAGCAGGAACTTGTTGATCACCATGTACATGTGCTCCTCTGGAGAGAACGGGAACGAACGGTCACACACTCAACATCGAACCGCCCGCTGTCCCCTGAGGTGCCACGCCGAGGTCACCTCCCCACCCACCAGGTTTCAGCATCTGCTGTGCCACCTTGGCCACGTAGGTGGTGAGCAGGAAGGGGACTCTGAGGTTCTCCTGCCGGATGCCATTCCTCACGGTATCCATCAGGTACAGCAGCTGGGACGGAAACGGTCAACAGGGCGATTAACGCACATATGCACGTCGGTGAAACCAAAATAACACACAGGATTTCATTAGCGAATATCTGTAGGAACTCCAGACAGTTATCATAAGCATTTTATAACCAGTCATGACCAACGCCTCTCAAAAATATACTATGAATTTACAACACTATTCTGATAATAAATTTCCTCTCAGTGGGTTAATAAAATTTCATTCAAATCTTGCTTCTGGACAGTCTTCCTGCCTATAAATTTACCCATAATGCCCCACACTGCTACCACGGCAGCTACGCACAGCCCTGTCCCATGATGCCGGAGAGTCCGGCTTCCCCAGCACCAGGAGCTCCCAACCTTACCTGCCTCTTCCCTGCGAAGCGCCCAGCCTCCAGGTGGTGGTAGAAGGAGCCCAGAACTTGGTAGGCGGCAGCCCTGAGCTTGGCGTCGTAGCTGCTGAGTGCTGCCACCGTTACGCCTAGGGCGTGGCTGGACACAAACTTGTGGCAGTTGACCACAGACTCTGGAAAGGGAGGGAGGAGGAGACCGAAAGATTCTTTCCAATGAGAAGAAAGCCAGACCAAGTCAAGGTGCACGGCCCAAACGCTGGGCAATTCAGAGACTGCGATTCACTTAACCGCAAAAAATGCAGGACACACACGGAGCCCCCAGCTACAAATCGAACAAACAGCCCTGTGGTAATGATCTCCAGGGGTAATGATACACACAAAAATACACACTTTAAGGATTAATTTTTATCAGGACATCAGAAATCATCAATCTTGATCCAGGACAGTTAGAATTATACAACAGATACACAACAGATGACGTGACTTGAAACACAATTAAAAACAGGAGCAGCTTTTGAGGATGAGGTAAGCGGTAAATCAAATTTAAACAGTGACTAATGTACTGTGAGGATTTCAGGGGGGGGGCTGTCAGGGGGGGGGGGTTACCAGGCTTAAGCAGCATGCTGAAGAGGGGCAGCAGGAAACCGGGGTCATAGACCCTCCCCAGGTCGCCGGCACCCTCCTCCCGGTAAATCAGCTCCTTGGCCTCCTGCAGAGGGGAGCACCAGTCACACCAGTCACACCAGTCAACACGATCCGCATGGAGGTGGGTCAAAGCTCTGAACGCTCAAAAAGCAGCCTAAATGCATGTTTCTGCCATAATGCAAGTGAGACGCGATAAAGTAGAGCGCAGCTCTTTGGGGGGAAAAAAGGAGAAAACTGGAGAATCTGAATGCGTAAGCAAAGCTTTGTCAGGTTTGGTCATCTACACTCTAAAATGCTCTGTAAGATCAAGTTTACGGAGAAGGGTCTGTTGGTGGACAAAGGCGGCAATGGATATATTTGCAATTGGTCTGACAGCGTTCAGTGCAGTCAGAGATCCTGCCTTCCATATTGATTTGTGCATCTATATCACACAATCGGCAATCAGTCAATACATTTCAGATATATCATATTTAAATCAAAAATACATTATATATATATATTAATGACAGATAATGGAAAGAATGTACTATACTATACTATTTATAGTAGTGGACTACTATAAAGAGATTAATTTCTTATTCTTGCTGTATTGCATAGTTAATTGCTAAGGAAACAGTATTAGACAGTGATGGATTAAGCATAATAAACAGAAAACCGATATCGGAGATCAATTACTCCGAGGGGAATTTAATCTGTGTCTCAAATAAATTTGCACATGTCCTCCTTGTTTTGTTTATTTGTAACACTTGTTTCATAAAACCTGTAGTAACACAAGGCACTTTAATGCTGAAATAATTCAATGTCTCCATGTCATTTACATCAGGAGATTTACTGACAGAGGAGATTTACTCAGCCAGTCCCTTTTGGCTTTATTGTGGGGGGTGGGGGGGGGGGGGGGGGGGGGGCGGCCTACCGAGGGGATGATGCGGCGATTCTGGGGGAAATGTGCCACAGTGCTGAGCATCCTGTCTGGCTCCAGCAGGGCCAAGAGGCCCTCCCCGCTGGGCTGCTGCCACAGGGACGGCCCCAGGCTCTTACAGGCCTTGTGGTGCTCCACAGCCGCGGGGCCCCACAGGAGGCACCTGGGGGGGGAGGGGGGAGCATTACCATGGTGATAAACACAAAGCAATATAAAGATGGAACAAAGAAAGGCAGATCAATAAAATACTTTTTTCATGTCATACATTAACAAATTGTATCGTATGAGTAAATTTCTAGATGACGCAACAAATACAGATCATCTCATTTTAAATTAAGAGAGCAGGTAGAAAGTGCACCTACTGAGACTGAGCCAGACTCACGCCGTTCTTCTCGTACTGCCGCAGCAGCAGCAAAATCCTCTGATCTGCACGAGCACAGGAACGTGGGGGGGGGGGGTTTAACACCACTTCCAACCACACCGCCCCCTGGCTGCTGTGACCACCCCATCCCGACCGCCCTGCCGTTTTCACCTCACCTGTAGTACTCAGGGTCGCGCCGTAAGCTCCGAGCAGGACCACGAAGTGACTGCTGTGACAGACGGAGGGACACTTCTGCACCAGAGTGAGGAGGAGTGACACCAGCAACTCTGCAAGGCACAGACCTCATTCTTACCCACCCCAGGGGGAAATCTCAAGCCTTTAAAAGCAATAAAATGCTAAGGAAAGGTAAAGACAGAAAAGTAAACAGATGCGTAATGTAAGATACAGCAGGAGGTGGGAGAACGATCCCTTGGGGTGCCCCTCAGAGTGCCTGCCTCACTCCTTTGGGAGGACCCCTCAGGGTGCCTGCCTCACTCCTTTGGGAGGACCCCTCGGGGTGCCCCTCAGAGTGCCTGCCCCCCTTGGGGTGCCCCTTCGAGTGCCTGCTCCCCTTCCTTGGGAGGCCCCCTCGGGGTGCCCCTTCGAGTGCCTGCTCCCCTTCCTTGGGAGGCCCCCTCGGGGTGCCCCTTCGAGTGCCTGCTCCCCTACCTTTCACCGAAGAGCCTCCCCCGGATGCATGCTGCTCATCCAGCATCGATGGCAGGAAGAGAGAATGGCTTGTGATCATCATATGCAGGGTGGGTAAGGCGAGCAGGTCAGCGGGGACATGGTCAGCTTCATAAACCCGACCCAGCAGGTTGCTCAGGGTCTCCAGGAAGGCTGAGCTGCTGTAGCGGTGTCTGGGGGGGGTGAGGGTATTTATTACCATACTGACAGAACAGCCAGGTGGCGCACTTGCAGACTTACGATACTCAGACAGTACTTACTTCAATCCAGCCTTGATGAAACTGTTCCAGTCTGGAAGAATCAGCTGCTCTGCTGAAGTCTGTTAGAAGAAAATTCATTAAGTACTCTGTAATCGATTATTCTCAGCTAATTGTGACTAATTAAACTGTTTATCAGTACTCATTCCATTATTAACCAATGAAGCTACATTAAATATAGCTGATGGGTTAGGGGGATGTTACAAGGCAAGAAGGCACACCAGCAGCTCCTGCACTCTGAGCAGCATGGCCGCCTCCTCTCCATCCTGCTCTCGCTCCTTGGCGCTCCTGAACCTTGCGCTCAGCCACTGGAGGGCAGAGGAGAGCAAGGTCTTCCTCCAGGAGGCCACCTGCTCCGGGGAACCGGCCAGCATGTCGCTGATGGAGCTCACAAGCTGCCACCTGAGGGGAAAAAAGAAGTGTTGGCAGAGTATGTAAGGACAACCGCCACAGTGCATTCTGGGATGCATGGAACGCAAAGATGAGCGGAGAGAACAGTGGCCTTAAACCGGCTTCTTTCGTAAATGTGTAACTGCTACGATTCTGTTGTACTGGAAGGTTGTCTTGACAGGAAAAACCAGAAAACACTGCATGGCTAAAGCTGCTCCGTCGGTGGGAAGGTTCACCATGACAGTGTGTGTTTATCCACAAACTTTTCAATGGATACGCAATGCAGATGGATGGATAAAGAACCTGAAGTAATTAACCAGTCTGAGCTGTATTTGCCAATGCAGACATTCTGGCAGTCGTGTTTATTCCCATCACGATCCTGACCGTTTACCATCAGATGAACACAGAGGGTGGGGCGAGGTCTGGGACTCACCTTTCGCACCCGGCTGCCCGCTCCAGGACGCCAGGTAGGCGGTGGATGAGGTCAGCAAGCTCTGTCTCCTTTGTGGTCTGTCTGACGAGGCTGCTGAGGGCCTCTGTGCAGGCAGGCAGGGAGTCACACGCTGTGTCGGAGAGCACAGATTCAACCAGGCCAGGAAGGAGGGCCGCCTTCAAGGATCGGAGGACAGCCGTGTGCACTGTGCAGCAGAGGAAAGACGTGGGAGAGCGGGGGCGGCGTAAGATACGGAGCACGAACACTGTGCACTACTCTTTCAATGTACATGCGCATAGCGGCCAGTAGGTGGCATGACCATTAAGGAATGTTTGGGTAAATAAGCAATAAGATAGTATAAAACATTAGAGCATGGACTTTTCCATACTGTCCGTTCAGGAAAGGGCAGCCCACCTCCTTTGGGTCTGGCCGGGTCGTCGGAGCTCGCAGCAGTCAGGTATGTGTTGAGGAGCGGGAGGAAGCTCTCCATGGCCCCCGAGAGCCGCTCCAGGTTAGCGGGCTCCAGGCACCACAGCTCAAACCGGAGCCGGTGGGCAGCACAGCTGCGGAGCATGGCCATTCCAATGGCAAGGCCCGCCGGGTCGCCCCAGTCCAGGCAGTGTAGCAGCAGGTCACCCGGGAGCAGAGCTGCTGCCTGAGGCTCCCTGCATAGCGCCCCCAGCAGGAGGTCAGCAATACTGCCTCTGGGAGAGGATGCTAGCAGGAAGGCCAGGGCACGCAGGTGGGCCTGCGACAGGAGGGGGGCACAGTCACCAGCTCCTTCAGAAAGGATGCTCACGGCGGCCTGCCCGTAGACACTTAGCTCCGCCCCCTCGCTCTTACTGGCCAACAGCCTCTCCGGGGGGAGGAGCATCAGGCTGGACAGCACCTCCTTCAGGCCTGCTGCCTCCATGTACCCGTGAAGCGCCAGCAGCCCCTTCAGCGGCCACGAGGCCTGCAGAACTGTCTTCCTGGCCTTGCGGCTCAGTTCCCTCAGCAGGGCCCCCCGGACTGCTTCCAGGTACCCCGCCATCAGCTCCAGAGAACCCAGGTCCCTGAGAGTCGGGCCACAGCGCACCAGCAAGGCCAGAACCCCCTCGGTGAGCTGTCTGCAGACCAGTTTCACCCGGACCGGGTCCAGATTGTGAGCCGGCAAGGAACCCAACTCCAGAGCCAGGAACCAGGACTGAAGGGTAGGGTGCTGCAAGATAGACTGCAGCACACAGAGCAGCACCTAGACAGTAAAAAGCAAATATTAAAATACATTTGTTTCAGACAAATTTCCTTAAGTGTAGAATTCATAAAGTTACGCTGAAACTCGTGTCTTCAGCTCTGCCAAGGAACATTCCAGACACGCACCTGATCCTTGTCGACTCGCTCCCTGGCGGCCTCGTCCGTCTCCAGGAACAGGTCCGACTCCCCCACGGAGTCGATGGCTTCAGTGTCGGCCGTGTCCTCCACGGCCTGAAGTCTTTCCACCAGCGCACCCAGCACCTTCAGGAGGCAGCCCAGCACTGCATCTTTGGACGTCTGCAAATCAAACGGTCAGACGGCCCTTAAGACAAAGCTTCCCTCAGTGTGGCGGTTTTCCCGATACAACGGGCAGGTCAAAAACAAGAAATACAAGGTGATATATTAGCGATTTAACGAGAACAAGCCTTTTTCTCTTAACAGTACAACAGAATTCTTACTTCCAGATGGTGAAGGTGTCAAATTCACACAATAAATAACTTTCTGAAAAGAACACCACCAGAGACCGTTTAACATATATCCTGGGGAAGGAAGTGTCAGACCAACCCAGGGCCGGAGTCACCGTGCGTACAGAGCGTCACCACGTACCCTGCCAAACGTCTCCACTGAGGTTTTCAGATAAAGCAGGACTTGCTTGGCAGCCACGGGGAATTCGGCCACCCCAAGACCCAACAGCGCCTCCTTCAGGCTGTCCGCGAAAGAGCTCCTCAGCCAGGCGTCGGGCCCATCACAGAAGGCCTTCTTCATCACCTCCGCGAAGGTGCCGTCGAAACCCGACTCATTGGGACGGGAGACCGTCGTGGACTTAAACTGGGGCAAAATGGGAAGATTGAACAAAAACACAACATAAAACCCTATCAAGATCTCACAAGGATGCAATCATCCAGAAAGAAGCACCACAGACACCATGGGAACAGATGTTATGCTGCTGGTGAAGGAAGTGTCTGCATCGACCTTTACAGTAAAAACAACCCAGTAGTATAACCACCAAAGCAAATGCTTATTATTGAATTAATGCATCGACCTTCCACCACACATCCAGCAGAGGGCAGTAGAGAGCTCAGAGCCTGCCTAGTTTAGGGACACCCAGGAAAGACTGTCAGTTTATCACAGATTAATGAAAAAAGCAGTACCAGATTTTCTTTAGCCTGTGGAGGAAGCCAGCGAGTGTAGTAGCTGTGGAAGGCGAGCAGAGCAGGGTGAGGGCTTCCAGAAAGCAGCTTGTCGTACTGCTGCAGGGCCAGGCAGAGGGGTAGGGGGTCTCTCTGGGAATGCAGCACGTCGGACAGGACGGCAGCCAGATACACAAACAGCACGCCTGAGGGAGGGGGGCCGTGAGGAAAGAGTCAGCCGATTCCCCACAGCATCCAGAGAGCCTGAACTTAATCACTCACCTCTTTCCTCTGCGGAAGCTGGCGGGAGGCTGTTCCTGGTCTCCAGAGCGGCGGGCACCAGCGCGCTGAAGGGGAACGTCTGCAGGATGAGGTCATCAGTGAGGGACGGCCCCAGCTGGTCCACCTCACCCTCAGCGCCCTCCAGCATCACGTCCATCATGTCCAAAGCATCTGAAACGCAGCCCGGCATCAGTCAGAGACACGCGGGGTGGCGGGGGGCCGCTACGGGGCTGGCTGGGCGCGGGGGCTCACCGTCGATGTGCGAGATGGGGATGCTGGCAGCATCGCCCTCCTGGGCACCCAGGCTGGCCTGCAGGGAGGCCGCATCCTGAACCACGCTCGCCGCCTTGTCCGTGTAGCTGTACGGGCTGGAGGTGAGCCGCACCAGCACCTGGGATTCGGAAGCAGCCAGGGGGCGCCGTGCAGTTCAGAGAGGCACAGACAGGAAACAGGCAATAAAACACTGGAAAACTGCTGGCTACAGGCACACGTCTGGCAGATTAGTAATCCCATGGATTAAGACACTCCTCTTTTAATCCCTGTGAGGGAGACCTGTTCCTTCCCCTGACTGGGGTGTTCAGTGACCATTCGTCTTCAATCACTGTTTTTAAGGCTGACAGTGATGAAACCATGACTACTGCCAACCTGCAAGGTGCTGATCACCCGCACAAACAGACACAGGTGTATCTCAGCTATCAGCAGCACTAATGATGACAATCGGTGCTCACGGTCTCCAGGAAGCGGACGACGGCTTCCTGCTGCGGCCTGGGCAGCCGGTCCAGATGGACCAGCCAGAGCTCCAGCTCCCGCCAGGTGTACTCAAACATGCCGCTGTCCCTCAGCACCTGGCAGACAGGAAGCAAACAGCGGAGAGTGAGCGCAGAAGCCCAGAACGAAGTCCTGCAGTTAGACCGTCAAACAAGGCCATTGATGGTATTCATTATGTGAAAATATCCATTATAATAAAACCATGACGGGTGAATGACAAACCTTCAAGATCAGCAACCTGGTGGAGTCTTTTAAGGCACCGATGCTGCTGTCTACGAACATCTTGAGCAGCAGGTAGAACACGGATTTCTCACCAGCGGCCTTTCCGGCGTCAGGAACATCCTGCAGGAGCGGGAGGAAGTAGAGATGGTGACAGAGTTTTGGTGCCTTCCAAAGCCCCCCCCCAAACTGTGCTGCTAAAAGCACCACCTCACCTGGACTTGGAACCAGGAGAACTTGTTAGCAGGTAAGTCCAGAGCCAGCTGGAGGATCTGGTGCTGCAGAACCGGGGGAACTTTGACCTCCTTCTCTGACATGATGCCTGTGTTCAAGAGGGAACTTATGGCTCTTTTCCACTGTCACCCAGAACCAAGCCGTACCACAAAGAAGCATGACTGAACCAAGCTGGTTCTGTCACCACCATCTGATTGGTTAAATGCATGGAGATACTGGTGATATGCATGGATTACATGAAGGAAAAAAAAGGCCATATTCTATATTTTATTCATTATTAGTAGTATCGCACATCACAAAATATTGATGCATTCCCGACAACTCAGAACTTGAAAATTTCCAGTCACCTACTTAAAAAAAAAGAACTATAGAATAGCTGAATGGAATGGATTTGTAATGCAAATTTATACAAGTGAATAATTCTGCTAGCATTCGATAGTAACATAACATGGTGTTTCTCACAGACTTGCTAGCAGAAATTAGCACATAGTAAATCATGATGTAAACCATGTAAACAGGAAATAAGCATCTCTTCAGTTTTACGTCACTGTCGCTCTCTAAAGCCAGACACGACCCTTCTGTAATGGAGAACCGAACCATGTTGGAACCACACTGTAACTAGTGTTTCTTCGTAGTGAGGCCCGGGTACAGCCAGGCTCCTGTATGCCAGTGGAAAAGCGCCATTAGACGATTCATGCATTCTTAACCCAGAGGTTGACAAGTGGCAACCCCAGGGGTCTCACAAACCTTTCAAGAGCTTGCTGAAGTCAAAGGAGCTCTGGCTGATGAGGAAGGGCGCCACCTTCTGGTACAGGCATAGGACGCGCAGGATGAGGGCCTTCAGAACCGTGGCCTCCGGGTCGTCAAAGCCTGGAGGATGCAGCCACACGGAACATGGATTCAGGCCACCCGAGGTTTGGCAAAATGCCTACAGTACTTCTCAGGAGTAACGTACCGTGTCCGAGAGGCTCCAGAGCTGGCTCTTCCTTACTCTTATCTTGACTTCCGCTTTTCAACACACCTTCACACTTCTCCTTCTTTGCCAAGGACTGCCAGTTAGAAATGATGCTGTTGACATCCGGTAAGACCTGGGGAGGAGGGAAGGGCTGTCGTACCAGCATATTCACCACCTGGCGGCACCTAACCAATGATACCTACCTGGGTCTTCAAACCCCTTCTCAGAGGCTCGAGGCTTGGAGCCCACCTCCCATTACCTTGGTCTGGGCTTGGAGCCCATCTCCCATTACCTTGCTCAGGGCTTGGAGCCCACCTCCCATTACCTTGGTCTGGGCTTGGAGCCCATCTCCCATTACCTTGGTCTCGGCTTGGAGCCCACCTCCCATTACCTTGGTCTGGGCTTGGAGCCCATCTCCCATTACCTTGCTCAGGGCCTCCCTATACTGCTGCACAAAGTCCTCCATCACGGCTGCCGTGTACAGTTCCGATCTTTGCCACACAGCTCGGTCAAGACAGTGCTCAATGTTCTTCTGGGCACGCCTCAAGATGAAGGACACCAGCGAGAGAGCCGTGTGCTTCACCACTGTGTTGGACATCTATTTTGTTGAAAAGAGGGCACTAAATTAGATCAAACTAGTTCTCAGTGGATGGCCAAGGATCTCCTCCAAAATCTGACATCTCAGTGGTAATATGAAAATAGCTACGGGAACTGCAGAAGATGATAAACCGATAAACTGACCCATCAATGTGACCAATAACAACCAGTTATCTGCTATAAAACGCTACAAAAATAAACAAAAGCAGACTTTGAGCAAATCAATTTAGTAATGATTGACAGGTACTGTTCCTGGACAGCTCCATCGGTAGGTAAACCGGGACGGGCGCGGTGTTGAGGTGGCTTGGACTCACATTAAGGGCCTGGGTGAAGAAGGCCTTGTTGCAGACAGGCGGCAGTGACGTGACCGTCACCATGGCGAGCAGACGGGGCAGCGGGACAAACTCACGGGTTCGGAAGGCCTGGGACACCTCTGGCTGCGCCTCATAGATCTGGGGACCGCCAACCAAACCAAGAGCCATTGTTAGTTTCCACATCAGACATCAGGACTCTGTCAGCTGAGAGTCTCTGCCTGCATGTCTATAAAAACAGAGAGTGCTCTCCGTAATATCTGGAATATCTGGAAGACAGATATTTTTTGTCTCTGTACTCAACAGTTTTAGATTTGTAATCAAACAACTGAGACAGTATTAAAGTGCACATTCTCAGGTCTAATTAAAAGATATTTTTATACATTTTGGTTTTACCATGTAGAAATTACATCATCAACACCATGGTGCTCTGAAGTGGGGGGGTCTATGTTTAAAAAGTGATGTGATTTCTAAATGGCAAAACCAAAATGTATGAAAAGATCCTTTAATAAACCCTATGCATTTCAACCACACCAGTTTTTGTGTTTTTGATCACAAACTCTGGAGTGCAGAAGTAAATTAAAAACATGTCTTTGTCCCAAACATTATAGATGGCATTGTATGCGTATAAAATCTGACACAAATCTGCACATACGGTTCCCATTATACACTCTTGACAGAGTACCAGCTCCTAGAAAAACTCAAGAATCTGGGTTTAACAGTGGTTATGTGTGCATCACCTTCTTGAGGAGAGTGACGTTTTCCTGCCAGGTGCTCCGGAGCCGTGGGGTATATGAGTATTGGGTTTCCTTGAAGTACCTCGACAGCACGTCGGGGTTGTCCCTGAGAATGCTGACCACTAAGTCCCTCACCAGCTCGTCCTCAGTAGCCTGCTTCAGTCCCACCAGGAACTGCAGAAGAACCACATTCCCCGCCCTGTAGGAGCAGACAGACGTATACCAGATGCTGAGTGAGGAAGAGCGGGCCCGCTGAGGAAGAGGAGGGGGACGACAGCCAAAGAGCCGGCTCACCTCCCTGCCGTCCCGAAGCTGGGGTCGTAGAAGCTGATCCCGTGTTTCCGAGAGCAGCAGAGGTCGATCAGGAATTTATGGACCAGCTCTCGCACCACCATCTTTCCATCCTGTTTGGGATTCTCACCCACCTATCAGATGCGGAATAAAGAAATCCATGTACAATCCACATATGATGGAGGCAAAGATTAACTGTGAAACGCGACCTAACTGCATACAGACCTTGCTGTCCTCCAGTCTTACATCTGCAATCCCATCCCATTTGTAGAGAGATGCGATCTGAGCCAGAATGGCAGGAGTGAAGAAGCGGACTTTCTGCGTCTTACTGATGGCTTTATTCCAAATGACCTGTAGACAGGATAAGAGAGGAGCTGCATTTCTTTTCTTTCAATTACAACATACAACACTAAACAAAAAAAACAAAATTAAAAATGTTTTACTCTGGTCTGTAGCGTAGATAAAATGAGGTTGATAATGGAGATTCTGTCTTCCTTCAGCCCAGTGCTTAAAATGTCAGTCAGAAAATCTAACAATTGGAAATAAAATATCCATTTTCTATATATAATACTGCAACACCAATACGTTAAAATAAGCACCACATACATACATTAAACAAAGCCCATTATTTACAAACCTTGCATCTCAAGAACATGTCCGATAGTGGAGCCATCGCCTGATACCAGAAAAGACAGAGCAAACTGTATATAGGCCATGCGAACATCAGGTTGTCCCTATGGAGATGACAAAAAGGTTTAAATTTCCTAAGAGCACAGCCACAAAACAAAACTGACACCAAGCAGCCAAGTATTCTAAACGTCCATACTTGCAACTTCAGATGCATCAGAGAAGTTGCCTTATTTGAAATTATACTGCTAGTGATGAAAACTAAGAGTATTGTCATTTTTCCTTGACACAGAGGGTGTATCACTTTGAATGTAACCAGGCAAGCAGACCAACAGCCTTACCTTCTTATCGCGTCTGCGGGTCAGTTTAGATAAGCTCTTGTTAAAGTGAAAGTGGCTGAAAACCTCTCTGGCCATGTCAGATCCCTGGGACACCATAGAGGACAGGAGGCCAAGACACTGGCGAACGAACCTGGTGAAAAACAACAACCTGGGTTACCTACGTGTGCTTCCTTTGCCTGGACCACACAGTCAGGACTACACATGCAGACTGCAGCACACCTATGGTTTTCAGAATTAAGTGACGACTGAAGAAGCTTCATGTGGTTGGTGACCATTTTCTTCACGACCGTGATGCCCACCACGCTGAAATGAGAGAGGTCGCTTGCGGTCCGCAGTAAGATCACTTCTAAGCTCTGGAAGATCAGCAACAACTGGAAGCACACGAAATTACCAAGATGAGACACTGACATAGCATCAGATGTAGCAAAAGAACGGAATAACATGAGAAGTACAAAAAACAAGCAACTGTTTACACAAACCTAAGTCACATGTTTCCGTTGTCTTTTTACATAATCAGTCATAGGAATATCTTTCGCACTCCTTTACCACATTTCCATACTTACTTCTCTCTCGTGATGTTTTTCTCCCTCGAGTAAACTGAAAATCTCAGCGCACTCCATGGATATCTTAATATAACCCTCAACAACATCGTAGAGGTCCGCAATCGGTAGTTTCGTCGCTACTGACACAAACTTTCCCAAACCTAAAGGGGGGAAACATTGACAGCAAAACATACATACGTGTTCAGTCACACATCTACTACAGGGGTGAAAATGTGGCTAATCAACGATCTACAGGTACAACAAAAAATATACTACAACATAAAGCACATTCAGCAAAGGTCCATGGTATCTCACGAGAAAAAAGGGACAAAATTCTTGCGGTCAGTCAGTTAAAAGGAGAATGATTAATGTCACTTGATAATGCTGTCTATGAAATTATATTTTAAAAAGTTATCATTCACCTTTCAAAGCCTTGGTTGGATCTTTCAGCATGGATTTAAAAACAGTCCCATTAAACTCAGTGTCATTTTCATCCAGTGTCATCATTTTCATTTTCTTTTGTTGTGTTTCCGACTCTCCTGAATCTTTTTTCGCACGTTTCTTCTCCATTACGTTTGTATTTAGTGGAGACTCTGGAGAGTGCGGCACAAGTCTATCAACAGACATAAACTCTCACACGTGTTTTGAAAACAGGAAGTTGTCCAATCAAATTTGATCCCGTGTAACTCCTACTACCTGCTTACTCTTCGTTCCGGATTAGTTTATAACTTCGCGCTTTGTGCAGCATCACGATTCTTCTAAAAGTTACGAAGTGTTTATAAAACAAAACTCAATTACACCCAATATATACACACCAACAGCTCACTTTTATAAGGTATATGCCAAATTGCTGGATGTTTATGACCAGAAAGAAATCGATAACGGCAGTCGCTTTGTTCACATTGTCAAAAAAAGATTTCGGGTTAAACTCTCCATTTAGCTTTAGAATTGTTTTAAAATACAAGTTAGTATTATCCTGGAAGAATGTAAACTCAATCGGCTTTTCTAAAAGGACAAAAACGATGCATAATTTGCTCTGAATGATGTTTGCACCACGAACAAATCAGATTCTCCACCCTCACTGTCGCTGACTGTAATATTGAAATCATGTTGAATTACTGTTGTATTTCTTACGCCGTTACGGAAATGTGAAATACATGTGGAGTTAGCATGGCTCAACGGCATGAATCTACGAACAGCGTTTTAGAGCAATTTGATCGTTTCAGTGTAGACATTTCCTACAAATTACCACCAGGGGGCAGGATAGCTGTGAAGTCTACGATCGTGCAGAGGAAATAAGCCGCTATAGTGAAAGGAGGACCTTTTAGCAGGCAAATGTGCAATTCTGATGGAAGAGTAGCCACACCATTCATCCATCCACCCATTTTCTGTAACCTCTTGTCCTGTTCATGATCAGGGTTGTGGGGAGTCTGGAGCCTATCCCGGAGTCTACGAGCACAAGGCAGGGAACAACCCAGGATGGGGCACCAACCCATCACAGGACACACACACACACACACCATTTACTGGCCACCATTCCAGTAGCTATACATAGGTTGGAAAACTGTAGAAGGAGCATCACCCTCCCAGGAGTCACAGGAAGTGAAACGTGCAAATGGGGAGTTCTGGTTTATCTACTTTTCTGTTTGTCTCAGTTTATATTTTTACACTGTTCAGGGTCGGGACAAATTTGTTATATGTTTGTTCCACTGTTGGTAAAGTGAATGTGTGCCTTGTTGGTTCGGCGCAAAGGCTGCGGGCCCCATACAAGGGGTGTCACACTGTAGGAAATCCACAGGGCTGGTGTGCTTGTTTTCCGGTACACTGGCTCCTGTGACATCGACTGGGTTCTGCACCAAAGCAGAAAGAGCCTTGTGTGTCTGATGGCTTACGTCTGTATTTGACTGAGCTTGACCGAAGGTCCTCTTTTCACACCTAAAAACACAAAAATCCTACCTTACATTGTGAAAGATAGATAGATAGATAGATAGATAGATAGATAGATAGATAGATAGATAGATAGATATAAATAAAAATGAAAATTTATAGTACATAGTGTGGCGTGGTGTTTAAGCACCTGGAGATCCAGACTTGATGTTACTAACATGTATCTCTTTGAATGGATTTTAAAAATTCTGTTAGTTATTCAAAATATGTCTGTGTGCACACATGCACATGTTCACCACTTGGGGGCCCAAAATAAAGAAAAACACTCAACTTAAAAGCCATTATTAAGGTTCTGTTTATTTTATTTTGGCCCCTATCTAACCACAGGAACACCGGACAGATGTACTCTAAGCTCTTTGGTCAGCCTAGCATCTCGCCATTGGGCTCCCTGCATCACTGGGGAGCCGTGGAACAAAAGGCAGAGGGGCCAGCAGAGAGGAGAGGAGCAGGGGACGCAAACTTGAGAGTTCACAATCCTCTCGACAGCCATGACACATGGAAAGAATTACAGACCCTCCCCAGAGTCATCATAGCTCAGGCCCGGGCTTTAGGATTTACACAGGCTGCTTTACAGACCTTTGGCTGCAATTCACAGGGGCTGTGTGGTGGCAAAGGTTCAGATGTTGCCTTCTTGACGAAAAAAAAAAAAAAATCTTATACTGATTGTCCAGTTTCAAACATCTTTTCAGTAAAGAGAGCAGCACGCCCTCTGGTGGATATCCAGAAAGATAGCAAGTGTCATCTGATGAATGAAGAGAATTCATGCTAATGCATTTAAACTACAGGCAGTCCCCAATGATGAACAAGATCCGCTCCTTAGGACTGTCCTTAAGTGAAATTTGTAGGTAAGTCAGAACTATAATAATACAATATATAATAAAATAAAAATTATAATAATAATACAGTCATATTAGAAGTAACTACTTACGGTGCTGTAAAGTGCTGAACCCTGAGCCGATGAATTGTTGATGCAGCTCAATGTTTTCTCAAGAGTAACAAAGTAGTGCCTGCGTTCGTTATTACAAATCATTGTATTTAACCTGAATTTTTAACATAATAGTCTTTATGATGGTTCGTTCTTAAATACAAGGTGTCCGTAAGTCAGATGTTCTTAACTTGGGGGTGGCCTGTATATCTAAGTCTTTTGGTAAAGAAAATGATGTTTGTTGGCAGATAACTCTCTCTAGACAGCAGATTGTGGAGGCGTATGATGTAGCACTGATCAGAGGTGCTCTGAGGTGGTCTTTCTCCATCCATCCATATCCTGTGCTTCTCTCTTCACTGTCTTTGCCACCGTCAGCACGCCTGCTGGCCCTGGCCTCACACCCTCAGCACTTCTGTGAAATATCTCCCCAGGCTGTTTCTGCCCTGGGGCAGTAGAGGGAGTGGGACTGTGTGTCTCACATTTTACCTCCAATGATAATTTGGGGTAGAAATGACAGGATTTTCACTGGAATAGGCCCTTACCTTGGAATTTTCAACATTTTTCTCAACAGATTTATTTCTTACTACCGAGTAAGAGGTTGCCATGGGTTACCAAGGAGAAGACTGGATATATTTTTGGAGAATTAATTGTATCAATGATCAGGGTAACTGCTGAAAATGTGTAATGGGTTAATGTAGATTTGATGGGTTGGTGCCTGTGAAGACACATGCCAGTACTCAGGTGAGATGTAACATTTGCAGCCTCTGGGTGACTTAACATCACATTGTCAAGCTCGTTTTCAATCAAGATTGTTAAGCGGTCAACGGAAAATCTAGTGAGGTGTATTTATCTTCAACTTTGGGCTGTCATGGAGACATCCGCACTCTCCTGGGGCTGAACTGGGAGCCGTTCAGCTGATCAGTTTCTTGTTCCAATAAGTGTGTCTGTGTCTCATTTTTTCCATCTGGGTGTGAAGATTTAAATTGCAGTTGGCTTTCAGGGACCGTCCTCCATGTGATTTTAAATCCCCGTCATTGGTTCCATCTTGGATTTCACCCCAGTTTTCTCATCTCTGGTGTCAGTAGGTTGCTTCTGATCTTTATTTCCCTTATAATGTTAATCTAATCAAAGAAACACCCCCAGTTCATGGGGGGGGGATGCTTCCTCCCAATCTCACAAAAAGACCCCTATAAAAGAATCTGGGAAAGGGAAGCTCTCTATTTCACGTGAAGCTTCAGAGAGGGAGGGGCTGAGCTTCTTTAGTAGCTGTTGGAGAAACCTTCAAAAGTTCATTAGTTCATTAGTCAAGACGTGACTGAAATGGCAAGTTCTTCCAGACGATTAAAACATTTGTAATATATCAATTTTGCCCAGAGATAGAAGGGACAGAAAAACTGAACCATAATTCTGTTTATGCTTTATATTTCCACACATAATATGCCGTGACAGTTAATTCTTCTCAGATGGAAAAAGGTCAGGTGAAATATTTTTTCACTTGTGGCATGAATGACGAATAGGGACAAGCCCTTTAGTCATGTGACCAGTTTTCCATCCTCTACTTCAGTACTCTACTTCCAACTCCAGTCCTACAGGGCCAGATCCCTGCACATCTTTGGGTTTCCCCTCATTTAACACACCTGATTAAACTGCTTGTGCTAATTACCGCACAGCTCTTGAGCTTATCATTTGCGGGGAAACAGGGAAAGAACTAAGCTACACAGGGCTCTGGCCCCCCAGGACTGGAGTCTGACATCCCTGCTCTACCTGCTGCCTAGATTTCCAACCCTCCCCATGCAAATCACTTACCAGCATTTGCCGGGCACTTGGTATGTGTGAGACTCCTGGCCTTCGGACAGAGAAAATAATGTACTCATGGCTATGATTTCTTTGGAAAAAACGAAAATCATTCTATCAAAATCACTATTCCCTGTAGTAGAAATCACAGACATCATGTTCATTAATGCCTTAGAATTTTCCTTAGGCGCTCACCAAGGTGTGTTCTGTTTTTCCCCCCAGGTTGGTTTTTGTTTGTGATTCCCTTTGCTCTGTTTACCTCTGTTGCCTTCCGGGCCCCCAATCATGGGTCCCCGGTTGCGTATCTTGTTCAGACAGCGTATGTTTCTGCTTTGCGGGTTGGTGGGACTTCCTGGACCAGCAATAAGCCACAAATTCGCCTCAGAAAAAAAAAATATCCAAAAAAACGCCAACCCACGCCGGACAGGCAATGAAAATCAAAGGCCGCCTACTCTCGGCAAACAGCCGGCCCCTCCGCTGATCTACAGCATCCGGACGGGCCGGGGCACGGTACTCTGTGGGTGTCTGGATCGGGATGTGGATTACTCTCGTGTAAGGTGCGGATGATCTTCCCCCAGGGAGCTGGCACTGGGGCCCCAGTTTGTGTGGGCTGTCTGGGCCCCTCCCAGGCTCAGGCTGCCTGAGTGTGGGCAGGTGGCACACAGCCCCTGTCCATAGCGACGATGCCTGTGGTCCCGTGCGAGCAACGTAAAACGAGAAGAACGCTTTGCGGTCTGCGTGGGGCAAAAGCGGCACATTTCCACCCACGGGGGCCAACGACGTTCAGCGTGGGGCAAAGTCTCCTGCCGGCCAGATTTGAGGGGAGGGGTTAGCTGACGCCGAACAGCGATTTCTTGGAATACGTCCGCTAATTTCCAGTGACACATCGCTGCCCTTGATCTTGAATGCAAAGTGGGATAAACTCTTTGGATGGATGAGAGCGAGGCCTGCAGATCGTTCTGGGATCAGAGGCGGTGAAGGAAGGCTTGTCATCTTCCGCACTCGCCCGAGGAGCATCTGGTGGGAGGCCTATTTCTGTCCTGCAGGATTCCCAGAGCCCAGGCTTGGCTCCCTCCACGTATAATTTGCACCAGTCATGTTTGTATTTAGCTAACGC